GATTTGTCTTGGCTACCCAACCAACAACCCACTATAAACATGCCTCCATTGAAAGCATGTTTATGTATTAATAATGAACAATATACACATGGTTTGATCTCACATGGTTAAATATGGCTGCCAGACAGTGTTGTGTGGGTTAGTTTATCTCCTCCTCCGACATTCCAGCTATGTGAAAGTAGCCTGTAAATATACTGTGGACCAGAAAAACCAGTGACTGATATAATGAACACATAATTGGGACAGGATTATGTACCATCAACCAAACCAAAAGGTCTTCCACAACATCCATTATGTCACCCCTTGCCAGCACCATATGTAGCTTGGGTCGAGTTGTAACCCTCAATCCCCACGGAGTGAGTGAAGTTAGTTTTACGCTGCACTCAGCAGTATTCCAGTATGGCAGCGGTCTGTAAATAGTGGAGTTTGGACCAGACAATCCTGTGATCAACAGCATGAGAATCGATCTACGCAATTGGGATACGATTACATGTGTCAACCAGGTCAGCGAGCCTGACCACCCTATAGTCGCCCTCTTATGACAAGCGTGGGTTACTGAAGATCAATTCTAACCCAGATCTTCATGGGTCCAATCTCAACAGAGGCAGTCAGAGAGTGGTGTTTCACACAAATCTTGCACATTACCATTGGTAACCAGAACATCTTTGGCATACACAATAACAAGATTCTAAAAATATAATTATCATAAACTTGAATATCATACAAACACCCTTCTATTTCAGGCAAATATCTCAAACCACACAATGCTTTAATGACTAGATTCAGCCGACATGCATCTATATTTGTACAATCTATTCCTATTTCCGTGAGACACTACAAACTTTATCCTAATTGGATATGTAATTAAAAGATTGTTTTCAATTTCCTGATGACACTATATATTGTTTTCCAATATGCAAGAAATCTTGAATCAATGACTGACATTGAAGTCATTGTCAGGGATGGCTGGTTGAAGAAATAAAAATATCATTAGTACTTTGTTTATATAAATATACAATAATAAACAAGACCTTGTAACCATGATTTGGTTTCATTGGTATTTTCCACATACACAATTACATAAATATAACAACAATCGTAATAATATTCATTTACTGGCATAAGATTATTTGATTTTCAGAACTATTCTAAATATTCTTGAACACACACTAGAAAGTTTTCCTCTGAACGGAGGCAAACAGTTTTTATCATGTTGCAACTAAGTTTCTTTAGGGACCGTTCATAATTTATGGCTGAGTCATATCAACACTTGGGCATCTATACAAATTATTCTGACATGATGTTTAAGATATACATTAAATGTTTTCAATGACTTCATCACTATATTGCTGGAATAATGCCTGTGAGATAAAATGCAATTTATCCACTAAGTGAGTTCAGGTGTGTGTGTTGTTATTCTTGGTTAGTAAAGAATAATTTCCCTCCCTAATCCCTTAAAGTTTTTTTAAAAACAATATAATTTCCTAACTCCTCTTTAATTTGAAAACAAAATATGTGCCTGAGAAACATTCATTCTTTTTATACACAGCCTAAGATCTGTTGTTAAACTGCCAGTACATTTGATTTCAATTAGTAGTAGACATATAGTACATTAATAGTAACAGGAATGAGGCAGTTTTTCTGCTCTTTACGGATTTTTATAAGTTAACGAATAATTAAAATGAAAGGCCAGGTCATTCACTGTACACACCTCAAGTTAACGTACAAATTATATTGAAAAGTATTTTGTAATGGCTCATACACATCACCCATGACAACATAAGCTAACTTGAGTTATCTTTCTTCAACTAGTTGGTTTCCTAATACTACTTGGCAAGCAACACACTGTTGGTTTGGATGTTTGTGTTGGTATGGACGGATATTTGGTAATAAAAATGGACAAAGCTAAGTGACATACAAAATCTAGTCTAACAGCTAATTCTGATAAGGAAATGTATTAATTTCTCCCTGTAACTAAATTAACTGGAGCTTAAGCATTACCAGAAGCAAATACAGAAAGTGACTTCATGTTTTATCAATAGTCATACAGTTTTTTGATGATGAAATATTATGTTGATAATTGATAAAATACCATTTTTCTCACATACATAAAATGACTGGTATGAACAGAATATGATACACAACTCAGTCGGTAACAGGAAAGGTGAAAACACTTAGAATAAATATACTTTCTGCAATTATAAGGAATATTCTAACCAGTGTTTGAGATATACACAACAAAACAATTCAGATGGAAATCATCTGGAGAGTTCTGAACAAAACATGTTTACATTTTCATTCCACCAAACAAGGTATTAGATATCCTTCAGTGGCATTTAGAAGTTGTACATTGATGTCCAAGATATTTTTATGGATTAAACTTCTTTATAATTTCCCTCACGACGTTTCGAGTTCACCTGATGAAGGGACCTGGAATGGTCTCGAAATGTCATGAGGGAAATTATAAAGAAGTTTAATCCATAAAAATATCTTTGACATCAAGGTATTAGATAGATTAATATATAAGGAAGGATAACAATATGGATGAACAACTTCTTTAATACATTATTATTATTATTATTATTCGGTGAAGGTTCTAACACCGTTATCAAGTGATGAACCTAGCCAATGTGTTTTTATTGTTACCGACTTCCCAATGCCATTGCAATCCTAACACCAGTTGTACTGTGCAAACATCTCCTCATACTTGTATATATGCTTCTCTATCCTCATTCTGTTCGTCACTTGCTTGGTAACAGTGATAACAGTGTTAAGCGGCCTTCACACTCAACCTAAGTTGTTAAACTCAAGTTTGAGAGTGTGAACATTCCAACAACTCGCCTCCAACACCAATTTCAGAGCTGTCAATCTGTTGTCGAGAAATAGGATATGTCTCTCTTCTCACCAACTTTTCCATCAAACATTCGGTGTTGTCAAAATCGAGTTTTATGTGTGAAGCGTTGTCAAACTCGTGTTGTTCAGAGACAACCAATCGCAGTGAACGTAATTGTCACGTGACCACACCGATAGAAACATGGCGCTCAAATGACACGTAAGTTTGGCGACATGTGTTTGACGTGTGAAAACGTGAGTTTGACAACTTACAAAATTTTAACAACATGTGTTGTCAAACTTTAATTTGCCGTGTAAAGGCCGTGTTAGAAGCTACACTGAAACATCACTTTCACTGTAGTTAAGAAGTTGTTCATCCATGCATTGTTATCCTTCGTAACTGCTCTGGATCCAACTTCTAAATGCCTCTCAAAGAAGACTAATATATAAGTTGAATTTTACCACAATATAAAGAGCCCTTAATATCAGGTTCTGATTATGGGATTACATTCAGTTAATTATCACACATAACAAATATTATCTTTTTCATGACCTCTGATAATTCTTAACATTGTTTCCAACATGTAAAGGGATTGAACCATGTTGTTTTTACAAACATAAAGAAAAATGTCCGTTACTGGAGATATTCTCCAGGATATACAACCATGTGATGCACATAAAACAGTTCATGTTAGGAATTAGACATTCCATATTCACTTCAATATATATCCATATATTTATCTATAAATACAAACTGGCTGATCCTCGATAATCTCTAGGGTATACTTTCTGATAAATCTCCACTAGTACCCTGGATGCATCAACGGCCCTTTGATGGCTCCTCCTTCTCAAAGTAGCCAATCAGATAAGCCGTTACATCTGAGCTTGCCAGTGTCAACAAAGATGGCGCTCACAGCTGTGAAGATTTGCTCGCTGTGCGACTCATATTTAGGGAAAAAATACTACACACAAATTGACAGGTCTGAAACCTTAAAAATATATGCAAGAACTCCTTCTACCTCTTTCAGGGTACCTCTGCAACAATTGTGTTGCCAAGTTTAATCGTTATGATAGAAGCCTTGTGATTTGTACCCTCAACTTCCCAGCGTAGACACCTGATTGGATAAAAAGCCAGCCAAGGGAGGTAATACAATTATCAGACTGAGCCGTAGATGTATCCAGTGTACTTGTGGATATTTATCGGAACATAAACAATGGAGATTATCAAGGATTAAACTGGCTAAAATCAGTGACATATCAATATATTTATGTACATTTCAAGCTATTATGACGTACCCTGATGAAAGACCAAAGACACCCGGAATCCATTCACACATTATGCAACATGCATGTATATGAATCGTCAATGTACATATGACCTGGCTAGACTGGCCACTGTCTTCATTTCACCATAATAATTGATGCAAAGAAGAGAAAATAACATAAAACTGACTTCTAAAATCTCGCATTATCACACACATTTGACTTATGTTTGTTATCTTAAGGTGCAATATCAGAACTCAGTTAAATATCTATCTGATATTTATTAAAAATATAACACTTTACTAATCACTCTTTGAAAATGTCAGGCATTTTAAAAATGGGTACTACAACAAAAAAAGGAAATTAGTAAGGAGGAAAATATTTTGATGAAACTGCATCACAATGCATAGAGTTACCTTGACATCATAATCAAATGACATCATTAATCTCTTCGATATGAAATATTTTTGCCAGCTGTACTTTTAACACTCGATCACTGTTTACAAATTACAATTGGAAGACCGATTTGGGACGATTATTAAAATCTCTGCCTGGTGTTTTTAATATCAAACATCATGAATCCTCAGTATTTATTTATTTTAATAAAAAACAACAAAAAGGAACCTTTTTACATGTTTCCCTTTTCCAGAGAATTCCTTGGGTATTTGTTAGTATTTCAACACAAGATACTGATCCGTAGTAAAATACATATTCAAGATACCATAAAAAACAAAATGTTTTTCTGACATCTGACTTGCTGAACTCATGATACTCAAACTGACAGACTTCGGGGAAATAGTATAAAACAGAATTCTTGAAGATGAAAAACATTTCTAAAATCTGCTACAGTAACAAATACATCAAAACATAATAACAGAATATAATATGTTGCATATTTTTGTCAATAATGTGCCACTGATATATTCTTTTTCCTGATCTTAAAGTTTTCAAGACCTATCTAAACACAATTATTGGCAGTAAGTATTGGGAATACAACCAAGCTATTATGCCTGTATCAGAGTGTGAGTGACTGAAAGACTTCAACCAGAGTATTAAAAAACATCTTTACATTTCACACCCAACATACTATTCAACATTTGCTAAGGACGAAATTAGTCATTAGAGATGTGGTCCTTAGCAAATGTTGAGTACTATAGAAATGAGTCTATACACTTCATTTTGACCACAAGGGTAGGTTTTAGTAAAAGCACCTCTGGAAAACACCAGATGTGTCGAACATTAGTGCCACATACCAGTATATAGCTTGCTGATTTTCTTCACTAAATCATTCTTTGTTTATATTTACAAATAGGCCTTCCAGAATTTAGCGGGCATTAGCATCATACAAAATGTAACTATATTCCAAGGAACAATGTTTAATTATAGTTTTCTCTTTATTTTCAGTTCAAGAGCTTTTTTCAAATACATCAAATATGTACACACTGTAAGAGTCCAAACTGGCAGTTAAGATTTGCATAATTAACAAAGTACGGATAAAACATATTTAACCAATCCCTTGGAGTTTGATATGACTATTTCTTACTGTAAAAGAAATATTTCATCCTTGTTGGTATTGTTGAATGATGCACTTAGCAATTTTCCAACTATATGGTGGCAGTCTGCATATAATCAAGTCTGGACCAGACATTCCAGTGATTGGCATTATGCTCGCCATTATTGTGAGACTCTGTGTCCTACAGTAAAACAACAATGCAGATAGTTTGATAATAAAGGAAACAGTATTTGAATTTAATACCACATGTGTTGCTTTTAAATTCAGACTTTATAAATTCGGATATACCACTCTGCCTTGAAGGGCATTTTTAAATAATCTTAGTGATTTCGAATAATAACATACTCCTGTGCTTTGGTTGGTTGTTAAACGCCGCACTCAGCAATATTCCAGCTATATGGCTGCAGTCTTTAAATAATCCAGTCTGGACCAGACAATCCAGTGATTAACAGCATAAACATCGATCTACGCAAAAAATATACGACGCCACGTGTCAACCAAGTCAGCAAGCCTGACCCCCGATCCCGCGTTACTGGAAGTAGATAACTGATATTTTCTGTATAAGGGCAGGAAAAGGTGTAATCTATATCAATGACCACATCCAACGTCCATGAAAGGAGAGCATCGATCTACGCCAATTGACGTGTGTCAACCAAGTCAGAGAGCCTGACCACCCGATCCCGTTAGTCGGCTCTTAAAATAAGCATGGGTAGCTGAAGATCAATTCTAACCTGAACTTTACAGGTGACAGTGCTTTGGATATTACAGACGTGGCAATATTATTGTTATAACATACTTCAAAGATATGACTTCATATATCATGTATATAGCTTGACAAATCTGAGTATCTCTACCAAAGATTGAGTGATATACACATCAACCAGAAAGATATTTTGAGTAAGGGAGAAGGATATCCTGAGTGACCGAAATACTGCATCTTGTAAGATCTGCATGTGAATATATCTACAACGCTTACCTTCACATTGATATTTGAAAGTCTTTATTTTTTATGTTAATGTACCAGAACATACCAAAATATTACTTGTACAAAAACAGGCTAAGGGAGATAACTCTCAATGTGAATGGAGGTAACTAAGATAACAGTCACCTATGTGAGGTTACAAGTTGACAACCATTTTGGAAAAACCCATGAGCACACTCCTGACAACCCTAGAAACACAATCAGGGTGAATCTGGCCATTAAATCCATGATTACAGACTCTGGTCGTTTTTAAGGGATGCTCTACACTGCTAAATATAGCATCTTTGAGGCATATACTATCCCATCTTTTGAGAGCTCTCAGTGAGGGAGTATGGTTCTACATCTCTTTTAGCAATATTCCAGCAATATCAGGACAGAGGACACCTGAAATGGGCTTCAAACATTGCACCCATGAGGGGAATCAAACCTGGGTCTTCAGTGTGACGAACGAACGCTTTAACCAGCAAGCTACACCACCGCCCCTTTGAGAGCTCTCACAAATATACTAGACTAGGTATTGGTCTTATCTGGTTGTTCTGATCTTTGTTAATTTTGAGTTTTGCAATCCTATCTCATCCTGTGGCTGTTTACAAAAGAAAAGATTATTGAGTAGAATATTCTCACAACTCCCTCAGATGCCCACTACCAGTACAACCCCCACCCTGTGACCATAACTTGGGCACTCAATCAGTGATTGATTCATCATTCTGTGACCATGAACTGGGCACTCAATCAATGATTGATTCATCATTCTATGACCATGAACTGGGCACTCAATCATTGATTGATTCATCATTCTGTGACAATGAACTGGGCACTCAATCATTGCTTGATTCATCATCCTGTGACCATACATTGGGTGTTCAATCAATGACTGATTCACACACCCAGCACCTCTGGCCACCATGGCCGCCTCATTGAGTGAACAGTGTAATAATCTAAGCATGCTACATAACAGTCTTCTATCATCTTTTCGATCTTTCTGCTTCATCCTCAACAGAGGAACAGGATCTTCATCAGCAAACGAGAGTCACAATACACATGGTGGCAACACCTCCTATCAGACATAGCACCTGCTTCACAGACTCCCTGAAACAGAAACATAAGGTTCAGAATCAATCAATCAATCAATCAATCTTTATTCAATTCTCGAAGGCCACAGGTTTATAGTACAATACATAGTAGTACTATATAGAACAATTTTATATATGATATTAATATTATGTTTTCATACAATTATGGCGTTCAGATGATGCTTGATTGGCGAATTTCATAGCGTGATATATAAACATAGCAACATTCGGAATCATATCATGGTTGTTGCAGTTTAATAAGGAATAAAATTTATCTATGGATGGATGGACATAATAAAATTCTTTAAGGTACTTTCTACGTAGTTTATCATATAATGGACATACGAGTAAAAAATGATATTTGAAACATTTGAAACTCTGAATATTACAACAATTATATACAACATTAACCTTAAAGGGGCTATCTGCCCACAAACAAAACATTTCCCCTTCTTATCATTTGTTGAGTACATTTGTTGCAATGCAATGTGTACATCCGTTGCAATGTGATGGTTGCATTTGTACACAGCATCATTGTTTATCTGTGTGCATGTATGTGTGCATAATGTGTGTGTATGTTTCCTGCATGCATGTGCGTAACACTGCCCTCAACAAGACGAGTGGCATGAAAATAACAGAGTCTGACAATTCCTGCAGTGTGTACCTCCATGCCATCATAGTACGATGACACGACTTCATAACCCTAACTACCTGGCCCCGATTTCTCCAAACAAACTTAAGTCTGAGTTTTGACTTAAAGTTAAGTTTTTACTCAAATTTGGGAAAAAGCAAGAAAAGTATTTCCGAGAATAAACTGAAATGGATATAAAACTCAAACAAGAAGACAAAGTCATCAATATCCCCCGCAATGGCAAAATACTCTACATTATTATGTCTACGAGTTATGATTATGTCAAATATTTAGGTGTGTATATAGAAAAGTGGAAGGAGAGTATTGAAAAGTTTTTAAAGTTCTGCTCCAGAAAGGAGCACTATCACCAATTTCAGTCTATGTCAAACTTGTTGCCATGGAAACGCCCAACATATTTTATTCAGAAATCCAAAACTACCAAAAGGCACCAGTACACCACCAGATCTATGTATGTGCCAAGTTTGGTGAAGAAACATTGAACGGTTTTAGAGTTCTGCTCCGGAAAAGTGCACTACCACTAATTTCAGTTTTAGTCAAACTTGTTGCCATGGAAACGCCAAAAATATTTTATTCAGAATTCCAAAACTACCAAAAGGCACCAGTACACCACCAGACCAATCTATGTGCCAAGTTTGGTGAATAAATATTAAACGGTTTTAGACGGACGGACGGATGCACGCACGCACGCACGGAGTCCATTTTAATACCCCCTGCAAAACGCGTTGCGGGGGATAACAATGTAGACAATTTGAGTTCGGTAGATAGGTAGATGAGTTGAGTATTTTTGTTTTTAGAATTGCAACTGTGTTAGAAACTCAGCTGTTTCAAACTGTCAAACTCAGTTTGAAATTTGAGTAAAAACTTAAGTTTGTTTCGAGAAATCGGGGCCTGATCTATTAAGTCACTTCATACAACCTGCACGTATTTGCTGGGGACCAATTCCATCTCTGGAAACCCCACAGGTATGAACAATACTGTTTCATGTGACAGTGCAAGTCTTACTCAAAGAGTACGAGTTACTGTGATTTTCTTGTTCAAAGTATTTCAATTAGTTTCAGTGATCTGCAACTAACAGAGACTGGCCAAGAGATACAAATGATTCTATGTATTACCATCCATGCTTTTCCTGTAGCAAATCAGGTACAACAGTTACCAAGGCGATGTATAGAAATCCTCCAGAGGTGAAAGGTAGAATCCATGCAGTTCTCTCCCCTGTTAAACAAAGAAGGATGAATAAATGCAAGTTTCAGGCATTTGACTATTTCTGTAAATTGACGAAAATTGGTTGATACTCTCCTTTGTAATTGCACAATGTTGATACTCTCTGTTGTAATGACACAATGTTGATACTCTCTGTTGCAATGACACAATGTTGATACTCTCTGTTGTAATGACAATGCTGATACTCTTTGTTGCAATGACACAATGATGACACAATGTTGATACTCTGTAATAATGACGCAATGTTTACTCTAATGTAAAGTCACAATGTTGATATTCTGTTTTAATGACAATGTTGATACTCTCTGTTGCAATGACACAATGTTGATACTCTCTGTTGTAATGACACAATGTTGATACTCTCTGTTGTAATGACATAATGATGATACTCTCTGTTATAATTGCACAAGGTATAATCTGTTGTAATGACACAATGTTTACTCTGTTGTAATCATACAAAGTTTACTCTCTGTTGTAAAGACACAATGTTTACTCTGCTGTAATGACAATGATGATACTCTCTGTTATAATTGCACAATGTTTACTCTGTTGTAATGACACAATGTTTACTCTGTTATAATGACACAATGTTGATACTCTGTTGTAATGGCACAATGTTGATACTCTGTTGTAATGACACAATGTTATACTGTTGTAATGACACAATGTTATACTCTGTTGTAATGACACAATGTTGATACTCTGTTGTAAAGACACAATGCTGATACTCTGTTGTAATGACACAATGTTACACTCTGTTGTAATGACACAATGTTATACTTTGTTGTAATGACACAATGTTGATACTCTGTTGTAAAGACACAATGTTGATACTATATTTGTAATAACACAATGTTATACTCTGTTGTAATGACACAATGTTGATACTCTGTTCTAATAACACAATGTTGATACTCTGTTGTAATGACACAATGTTGATACTCTCTGTTGTAATGACATAATGATGATACTCAGTTATAATTGCACCAGGTTTACTTTGTTGTAAAGACACAATGTTTACTCTGTTGTAATGACACAATGTTTACTCTGTTGTAATGACACAATGTTTACTCTGTTGTAATGACACAATGTTGATAATCTGTTGTAATGACATAATGTTTACTCTGTTGCAATGACACAATGTTTACACTGTTATAATGACACAATGTTTACACTGTTATAATGACACAATTTTACTCTGTTGTAATGACACAATGTTAACTCTCTGTTGTACTGACATCACATACCTGCTGCCTGGGCAGAGTCTGACAAAAGTGCAGTAAGAGCTCCTATGACACCCCCTGTTGCTGTAAGGAGCTGCAAAGACATATGAAACTATCTGAATCTGATCCTACTTCCTGAATGTTTTACAAATGTTCAAGTCAATGAATATATGATGGCATGCAACCTTATATCCCAGTCAAGTATTCCAGCAATAGCACTGCCCATGTAGACTACAGCTCAGCTTCACACCTTGTGTCCATGTACAGAGTGAAAGTTGTTGTACAGAGGAGTCTGGACTGGTCATGCTACGTCATGATGTCTCTAAATAACCAGTGGTTGATAGCATGAGCAACAAGCTGCATAACCAAGGGCAACTGACATTTTGTGATCCAATATCACAGCCGTGAAGATCTGGGTTTGAATTGATCTTCAGTAACCCATGCTTATCGTAAGAGGCGACTAATGGGATTGGGTGGTATTGCTCGCTGACTTGGTTAACACATGTCATTGTCTCCCAATCGAGTAGATCGATGCTCATGGTGTTGATCACTGGATTGTCTGGTCCAGACTCAATTATTTACAGACCGCTGCCATATAGCCTGAATATTGCTGAGTGTGGCGTAAAACTAAACTCACTCACTCACTGATCCAATATCAGTGACAAGCATGGGGAAGTATTCTACCCAAGTTTACCCTGTGTAGATGGATATGATTAAGTAGTTTTGTTTATTTATCTTGATTTCGTTTGGTTTGTTTGTTGTTTAACACAACACTCAGCAATATTCTAGCTTTCAGATGTTGACAAACAAACTTTTAAAATGAAAATTGGAAACCTGCAATCAAACATCACTAGACATGATAATTCAATAGCAGTACCTGTTATGCAAGACATTGAATATTTATCAGTTTTGAGTTCATCACCAAACAAACAAATCATATTCTCTCAATACCAAATCAACGAAAAAAAATGTGGCACAATGACATTAAATCATATATCATTATACATTTGAAAAGATATTCAAAACTGCTAGTCCTTGTTAAAAATTGATCATGTTCCATTTTTTTTAACCTTTTCTATCAAGTTGTCAATAAGTCATTCAAGCATATAAATATTAGCGACACACATGTTACACATAATTACCATCTGAAAGAGACAACCAACACCCACAGATTTAACAGCTGGCCACAGTGAGGGTTAAACAGGTGGTCCTTGCATCAAAAATAATTATTCAACATCATAAATCTAAAAAACCCACTTTCTTGATTCCTTATGAATAATGAACAAGAATGTAATTATATTCTGTTGGACCTTGATGAGTGAGTGAGTTTGGTTTTATGCCACTTTTAGCAATATTTCAGCAATATCACGGCATAGGACACCAGAAATGGGCTTCGGCATGACTAGGACCTTCATGACATCAGTTTGATTGTTGTTTTATTGTTAAGATAAGCAATATTCCAGCTGTGGCAGTCAGTAAAAGACACACCAGTGGCTGACATCATGGGTGAGTGATTAAGTGAGTGAGATCATGAGTGAGTGAGTGACTGATATCATGAGTGAGTGATTGAGATCATGAGTGAGCGATTAAGATGAGTGAGATCATCAGTGATTGAGATCATGAGTGAGTGATTCAAGGTGAGCATGATTGACATCATGGGTGAGATCATGAGTGAGTGAGAGTGATTGACATCATGAGTGAGCATGAGTGATTATCAGTGAGTGAGTGATTGACATCATGAGTGAGTGAGTGATTGACATCATGAGTGAGTGATTGACATCATGAGTGATTGAGTGTTTAGAGTGAGATTGATTGACATCAAGGAGTGAGAGTGATTGACATCATGAGTGAGTGATTGAGATCATGAGTGTGTGATTGAGATCATGAGTGATTGAGATCATGAGTGAGCGATAAAATGAGTGAGTGATTGAGATCATGAGTGAGTGATAAAGTGAGTGAGTGATGGACATCATGAGTGAGTGATTGACATCATGAGTGAGTGATTGACATCATGAGTGAGCGATAAAGTGAGTGAGTGATTGACATCATGAGTGAGTGAGTGATTGACATCATGAGTGAGTGACTGACATCATGAGTGAGCGATTGATTGACATCATGAGTGAGTGAGTGATTGACATCATGACTGAGTGAGTGACATCATGAGTGAGTGAGTGAGTGGGTGAGTGAGTCAGTCAGTGATTCATTCAGTGAGTGAGTTTACCCCTTAATCAAACCTTGACATGCAATGAGACAAGTGAATACCTTAACTACTGGGCTATTGCCTCTTAATCGCCTCTCTGTACATGTTATCAGAACTGCATGAAGAATGCATAAATTGAAAGGCAGAATCTGAATTACATATAGATTTCAAATCCTTTGGGGTTCATCCTTAGCCCTTTTAAAGACATTAACAGTTAGTTTTCACAGAAAAACTCTTTGAGTTGTGCCTGTAAAATTCTGCAATCAAAAAGAACTAGCCCCTACTTTGGCTTTGATTTTATTTACTGAAACATATTCCTGAAATGATGGCCTCCCCTTTACACCCTCACTGATCAATATCCTATTAGATGATAAGCTACAATGATACAGGACCAGCCCTGTTAATGTATAGATTGCCCAGAAGGAATCAATTGGATTGTCACATCAACAAAACCATGGAAACTCCTGGACAATAGATGCTAATATTTTCATATACAGTAAAGTGCTGAAATTGCATGATGAGGAGAAAGATTGATTCAGATTTCTGATCAGTGAAATTAAACAATAGTTTCAGTGCGTGGGAGACTTGTAGTCTGAACCATTTGCTTGTGTTGTGGAACGTGAAGTAACATTTTCAGAATCAAAGTTACATCTAACTACAGGACAGTAATCATATAAATTTCAGATCAATCCTTGAGTTGTCACCAACTGACCAACAGCATGACCAATGTTTTAGCAAGAGAAATTGACACATTGAAGAATCCAAGTTTGTTTGTTGATGATAAATGCCGCACTTGGCAATTTTTCCAGCTATATGGCAGCAGTCTGTAAATATGTATGTGGATAAGACAATTCAGTGATCAACAGCATGAGCATCGATCTACACAAATGGAATACAATGACATATGTCAACCAAGTCATCGCGCCTGACCACCCGATTCCGTTAGTCACCTCTTACGACTGGCATGGGTTCCTGAAGACCAGTTCAGCATAATGATCATATCTCATATACCGAACCGAACCGGACCGAACCGAACCGGACCGAACCAATCCGAAGGCCTTGTACCGCAATACGCACCGCACCATGGTATGAGCGTACCGTTTCACCCCTACTGCACACAATAACAGTCTCGGCTACTTACTTGTGCCTTTGCTGCTTTCCATCGATCAAATCCTGACCGTAGTAGTATTGCAAAGTCTCCAATTTCATGGGGAATTTCATGTAAGAGTATTGCTATAGTTGTCATGAACCCAACCTGGAAAAATACGAAAAACATGCATACATGAAACTTCTTCTTCATTGTTTGTCAGTTTCTTAGAATTTCTTCAAAAAATATTTTTGAACAGTAGTGACGTATTTTGTGTACTGCAAACTCAGCAATATTCCAGCTACAGGATGGCAGACTGTAAATATTCGATTCTAGACCAGATAATCCAGTGATCAATAATCTGAACAACAAAAGAATGCCACTGGGTACAAGGATGCATCAATCAAATTAGGAATCTGGGTGCCGTTGTACAAAACAACCTTAGCGCTAAGACTACCTTAAGTCTATGATAAGGTATGGGAGTTACGGTCACCTTAGCGCTAAGACTACCTTAAGTCTATGTTAAGGTATGGGAGTTACGGTCACCTTAGAGCTAAGACTACCTTAAGTCTATGTTAAGGTATGGGAGTTACGGTCACTTAGGTAAGACTACCTTAAGTCTATGTTAAAGGTATAGAGCTAAGACTACCTTAAGTCTATGTTAAGGTATGGGAGTTACGGTCACCTTAGAGCTAAGACTACCTTAAGTCTATGCTAAGTTCACCCAGAGGCTAAGACTACCTTAAGTCTATGTTAAGGTATGGGAGTTACGGTCACCTTAGCTAAGACTACCTTAAGTCTATGTTAAGGTATGGGAGTTACGGTCACCTTAGTCACCTTAGAGCTAAGACTACCTTAAGTCTATGTTAAGGTATGGGAGTTACGGTCACCTTAGAGCTAAGACTACCTTAAGTCTATGTTAAGGTATGGGAGTTACGGGTCACCTTAGCTAAGACTACCTATGTTAAGGTTAAGTAGCTAAGACTATAAGTTATGTTAAGGTATGGGATCATTCACCTTAGAGCTAAGACTACCTTAAGTCTATGTTAAGGTATGGGAGTTACTGGTCACCTTAAGCTAAGACTACCTTAAGTCTATGTTAAGGTATGGGAGTTCTGGTCACCTTAGCGCTAAGACTACCTTAAGTCTATGTTAAGGTATGGGAGTTACGGTCACCTTAAGCTAAGACTACCTTAAGTCTATGTTAAGGTATGGGAGTTCACGGTCACCTTAGCTAAGACTACCTTAAGTCTATGTTAAGGTATGGGAGCTCAATGTTAACGGTCACCTTAGGAGCTAAGACTACCTTAAGTCTAGACTACCTTTAAGTCTATGTTAAGGTATGAGAGTTCTACGGTCACCTTAGCTAAGACTACCTTAAGTCTATGTTAAGGTATGGGAGTTACGGTCACATTAGCGCTAAGACTACCTTAAGTCTATGTTAAGGTATGGGAGTTACGGTCACCTTAGCGCTAAGACTACCTTAAGTCTATGTTAAGGTATGGGAGTTACGGTCACCTTAGCACTAAGACTACCTTAAGTCTATGTTAAGGTATGGGAGTTACGGTCACCTTAGCGCTAAGATCGCTTTGTACAACGGCACCCTGGCCACATTTGTTTGCCCCTTTGGTCTGGCACAGGTTGCTGAGGACCTGGTGGGATTTGAACCCAGAATCCCCATGAGGATATTTCTGTTAAGTCATGGCCATAGTATTCTGTAGCATTTCCTGATCAATGTATGAACTCTGGGTTAGAACATTTGTTTGCCCCTTTAGTCTGGCACAGGTTGTTGAGGACCTGGTGGGATTTGAACCCAGAATCCCCATGAGGATATTAAGTCATGGCCATAGTATTCTGTAGCATTTCCTGATCAATGTATGACCCTGGGGTGCAACAATGACTGAAAGTATTGATACATTTCAGGTGTACATAAAATAATTACACATCACTGCACATTGTTCAAACTTCAGTCAGAACATGTTTATAATAAGATTACACCTACAAAGAGAAAAAGGATTTCCTCCAATAAATCTGTCATATTTTCAACAAGTGCAAAGCTGGAAGGAAATTTAATTTAAAGACGCTAAGAATAACATTGTAAGAGTTGAAGAACCCTTGGGATCTACTCCATCATGACACTAAGCACAACCGCCAGGCAGTTCCTCTCTGATCTCTATGTACCCTCCTAGCATGTACGGGCGGTGGGGTAGCCTAGTGGTTACAGCGTTGGCTCGTCACGCCGAAGACCCGGGTTCGATTCCCCACATGGGGAAATGTGTGAAGCCTATTTCTGGTGTCCCCCGCCGTGATATTGCTGGAATATTGCTAAAAGCAGCGTAAAACTAAACTCAGTCAGTCAGTCCTAGCACGTACACCCACCTTTGTGCTGACGATGAAGCTCCCTGCTACAGCCAGTCCATGGGTAAAGTTGTCTATACAGTTGGCCATCAAGTTCAAATAACCGCTGACCTGAAACATGTTGTGATGCAGGATACGGTGAAACTTAATCATCAACTTCATCATCAACTGATTATCTTTGATAACTATATGCAAATGTTGATTCCTTTAAAGGTACAGATGTTGTCAGCATTACTTTAAAGATCAAAAGCAAATATTTGAACCTGGAACCAAGGCAACTCTGGAGTATCCAAGGGAAGCAACTCTGTACACCTTAGACCACTGGGCCATTCATGTCCCGACTATCAATAGATTATCACTACTAAATACTTCAAAATTTACATTCCGATTTCCTGAAAGTTATAGTTATTATCAGTTATTAACTTATAACCCATACATCCAAAGCAAATGCATGCACTGATATCAGAAACAGCATGTCATGTCAGCTAAGCATGTGACGTAAATACAGGACTTCCGTGACTTTTCATTTGAACCAAACTTTCAGTTAACAGTAATTGAAAAGTCTATGGAGTAGCCCAGACAGGGACATATCCAGTAAGAGACAAGAAAAAATTGTGTCCAGGGACACGGATGCCCCCGCTGCTGTAGGAAGACTTCACACATTCAGGGTCCCACTGAAGTACTTGAAAACACTAAAAACAATGTGTTGAGGGGTTAGATAACACAACCTATTATCATATAAAGATCAATAATTGAACCAAATCCACGAACAAGTTCAATAAACATCTATGCAACTGTGAGATGCACACCTTTCGAGTCCCAATGAAACACACGTATAATCTTAATCAATTCTGTTGAGCAGTTTTTGTGGAGAAGTGGATAGACCTAATCCCTATTTCACTATCATCAGAGAGAAATTCAACAAAATGTATCTAAGTTCAAATGTCTCTAAACATACCAAAAATATAAAATACAAAAAACAAAATATGAGATGCACACCTTTAGAGTCTCTTTAAAAGACATATGTAAACTTAATGAGTTTTGTGCAGTGGTTTTTGAGGAGAAGTGGATAAAGTACACCCCCTGTTGTATGGGACAAACAGGACGAATAGAACCAAATTCAACTAAGTTCAAACATCTGTAGAAGTGACAAAATTAAGAAATTGGATGAACAAGGTATGAGATGCACACCTTTAGAGTTCCAATGAAACACACGTAGAAGCTCAATCAATTCTGTTGAGCAGCTTTTGTGGAGAAGTGGATAGACTTCATCCCCTATAACACTATATTCAGAGAGAAATTCAACAAAATTTATCTAAGTTCAAACGGCATTAAAATTGGAAAAATAAATAAAATACAAAATCAAAATATGAGATGCACACCTTTAGAGTCCCTATAAAGCACATGTGTAATCTAAATGAATTCCATAAAGTAGTTTTTGAGGAGAAGGGGATAACATACACCCCCCTGTTGGATGGAACGAACTGGCTGAATAGAACAAAATTAAACTAATTTCAAACATCTGTAAAAGTGACAAAATTAAGAAATTGCATAAAAAGTTATGAAATGCACACCTTTAGAGTCCCTACAAAAGACATGTAGAAGTTCATTCAATGCTGTTGAGCAGTTTTTGTGGAGAACTGGATAGACTTCATCCCCTATTACACTATCATCATAGAGAAATTCAGCAAAATGTACTTAAGTTCAAATGTCTCTAAACTTACAAAAAAAACACAATAAAATACAAAAACAAAATATGAGATGCACACCATTAGAGTCCCAAGAAAGCCCATGTATAAGTTCATTGAATTCCACAGAGCGGTTATGGTGGAGAAGTGGATAGAATACATTCCCTGTTTCGTACGGACGGACGGACGGACACCGAGGGTAACCCTATATGCCCCAGCCATATATGGCGGGGGCATAAAAAGTTTGCAAGTATGTATAAAATCTGTAAAACAGCTAAATCTAGAAATGAGCAGAGGTATTCTATCCAAATTTACTATTTCTTGCTTTGGACAAAGTCCATTCGTATACTGTCGTTCCTCACCTGTCTCCAAAATGGGCTCAAAAGTTCTGCTTCTCCTTATATGTTTAAGTCAAAGCTAAAACTCCTTTCTTTCACAAAATATACTTATGCTGACCTGTCAGAACAAAACTTTCAAAATCGGCAGGGAGAATTGAGATTGGAAACCATTTTATGTCAGAATGAAAATTCCGAATGGATTGGCGAAATGGGAAAAAGATATGGACAGTTGAAGTCAGTAAATATATCTCACCTTTATATGCTCTTTGCCCGAACTACTTTCAGGTGTATTTTTCTGCTGAGTATTTGCTAAAGAGTCTCTATTCACAACTTTTTTATTATTCACAGCCTCGGAGGTTTTCTTATTATTTTTGTGTCTCCGCTTTTTGTGGCTATTTTCACTCTCTTGTTTCACCGGGGCACTGACAGGTCTAGGCTCCTCTTCACAAGTATCTTTGATCTGAAACATATCACAGCTTCTAATTAGAGCATGCAATTGCTGTTGCTGTTCAACACTGCAATATTCTTGCAAATCTGTGAGTAAGTATGGTTTTATGCCGCTTTTAGCAACATTCCTGCAGTATCATGGTGGGGGACACCAGAAATGGGCCTCATACATTGTACCCATGCGCGAAATCGAACTCAGGTCTTTGGCGAGACAAGTGAACACTTCAACCACTTGGCTACCCCACTGCCCCACCTGTAAATCAAATGGCAGTGTGTAGATAATTGACTCAGTGAATGAGTGAGTGAGTTTAGTTTCACGCCGCTTTTATTAATATTCAAGCAATATGATGGCAGGGGACACCAGAAGTGGGCTTCACACAGTGTACCCATGTGGGGAATTGAACCCTACTCTTTGGCATTACAAGTGAACACTTTAACCACTAGCCTACCCTACCACCCCAAATTGACTCAGAATTGGACAAACCACTATTGACATCATGAGCCTCAATATGCATCGGGGTGGTTGGGTAGCCTAGTGGTTAAAGGGTTCGCTTGACATGCTGAAGACCCTGGGTTGAATTCCTGGAACATGGGTACATAAAACTAAACTGTGAAGCCCATTTCTGGTGTCCCACCACGATCATTGCTGGAATATTGCTCAAAAAAGCGGCTCACTCACTCACTCAATCAAACTCAGTCAGTCAGGGCAGAGAAATTTCATTTCCAGCTGGCACATATGCTGTCACTATTTGCTGTTTTGTCATAAAGGGTTCACACTTGTCTGTGGAGTACACAAAGTATGTGATCCAGATCACCAGTTGTCAGACTTTCATTTTTGTGGCTGAGTGGGTTAGATTGCAGACTTTGTGTGCTGGCAATTAGGTGTCCCACTCTGAGGGTGTGCTGGGTGTCCCACTCTGAGGGTGTGGGTTCGAATCCAGGATGGAACACCCAAAACGTACCAGGGTCTGTACTTTGTCAAGAAAATGTAATCCCAGATGTTATAAATGTTTCATAAAGAGTTTAGAGTTTCATTCACATTTGTTAAAATTACTTTCAAAGATACCATATTTGGAAGTGCTAAACTTCTGATAATTTTTATTATGAATAGATTAATGGCAACATATAAAACTTAAATAGAATGTACAAAGTACTAATAATTCAGATAACCATAAAAAACTATATTTGGTTTATTATACTGGGTAGTTAATCAGTTGTAGAAATTGCTTTTCCCAATTTAGTTCATGAGACAATTACTTATGGTAATCATAATCTCTTAATCATATATCAAATGCAACTGAAACAGTAAATGATGCCTCGAAATAATTTTATCACAATTAACATTTTATCCAATATGTCACTTCATGAGAGATCGTGATTGCAGGGACATTCCCGTACGTAATGGGTGTGAGTGGGTGTGAGTAGGCGAGTCTAGTTCTACGCCGCTTTTAGCAATATTACAGCAATGTAATATGGGACCACAAGAGTGAGTGAGTGAGTTGGGTTTTACACCGCTTTTACCAATATTCCATCAATATCATGGTGGGGGACACATGAAATGGGCTTCACACATTGCACCCATGTGGGGAATCGAACCCGGGTCTTCAGTGTGACGAGCTTACACTTTAACCACTTGGCTACCCCGCTGCCCCGTAGGAACCTAAGAGTAGTTGCAAGATATCAGTCATGTCAATAATGTGTTTTAATTTATTAACTGAAAATACCAGCAAACTACAAATTAAATTAAAGTTGTTATATATTATTCAATTATACTTGGGAAAACGGATGTTAAAACATATTTAAACCCATTGGAAAACTGAATACATATGGTTTTAAGGAACTTACCCTTTAATTTTCTGGGCGGGTTGAAAATCATATTTGATTTTTATCAACATTTGTTTTGTTGTTTAAAGCAGTCAGCAATATTGCAACCACATGACAGCAGTCTGTATATTATCGAATCTGGACCAGACAGTTCAGTGATTGACATCATCTAGGACATGCATTAACCAAGACATCCACCCTGACTGACATCAACACATTTATTCCCTTTTACAACAAGCATGTGGGTAGTCTAATCAGGGCTCCAGATAATTTCAGGAGTACATAGTCCTTTTTTTTTCAGGAGGCACAGTTTTGTTTGTGAAAGAAACTTGTAATTTGTTTCTGTGCCGCCATGTTTACATACAGGTGCACAATTTTGACCAATCAAATTTAACCGAGATGATTCACTGGGGTACGTGGTTTCTTCACGTAAAATCAAAGATGGACACTGCTTGAAATCAGATTGATATGTTTTCGATGTATACATCTGTAAATGATTCTAACACAGTACAACATTGATGTGTTGTGGATCTCCTATGTTTTCTACATTATACCCTATCATATTGTACATATTTTTATCCGTACATACACCGATACGACCCTTATCTGGAGCCCTGTCTAATTATCACCTGCACCTTCACTTGGCTTGTCAATTATATTTGTTTCAACATAATCGGTAAATAAGAAAATGTCATGAAATTTTGGTTTGGAATATTTTAAAGGTCTGGCTCTACAACCATCCTACTTGGTCTCACACCGCCAAGAGATTAGTCTGACTGGGGCATGACAACAGAATAATGGCCGTCTCAGGAAAGTTATACATGGCATGGCAGAAAGAGATAGTACAGGATTAGAGATTACATGCGAATCTACTCTAGATAATGTTTGTTCTTTTCAGCGACTATCACACTCTCGTATCTGATGTCCCTGAGATTACTGGGGTGTGAGCAATGATGTGCCAAGGGAGCATGGGAATATGCCATGCATTTGTCAGCCGAGATTAGGATTATCTGGTTCCGTGATAGGGTTCGCAGCTGCTGTTTCGGTGAAAATGGAAGAAGAAGTTCTTTTTATTTCAAAAGTTTCAAAGAAAAAATATCAAATTTGTTACCATGGCTACAGCTTATCCCTTTCTTATAACACTCCCTTATTTGTGGCAGTGGGTAGCCCTTTTGGTTAAAGCAATCGCTCGTCACGCTGATGACATGGGTTCGATTCCCTCATTTGGGTGCAATGTGTGAAGCCCATTTCTGGTGTCCTCCGCCGTGATGTTGCTGGAATATTCCTAAAAGCGGCATAAATCCATACTCACGGTAACTCTCACTCTATGTATATTTAGTCTTGGGGTGTTGGGGTGTTGGGGTGTTGGGGTGTTGGAGTGTTGGGGTGTTGGGGTGTTGGGGTGGGCGTGGGAGAGGGCAAAGGATATTTATACATACATGCCTGTATGTTTGTTTAGATTTGTCTATCCTATCCCTCTGATCTATGTCTCAGAAGTATCAGGCCAAAGGTGGAAAGGTCATTTGTCGTATGATATCACATAATAATATTGACTTTTACATTTATATCTAAACATAAACCCCAACAAACAAATGTTATGTAGCCTGGTCCGGATTAGAATGAACCTTCAGTAACCCATGCTTGTTGTAAGAGACGACTAATGGGATCGGGTGGTCAGACTCGCTGGCTTGATTGACACATGACATCGGTTCCCAAGTGCACAGAGCGATGCTCATGCTGTTGATCACTGGATTGTCTGGTCCAGACTCCATTATTTACAGACCGCCGCCATATAGCTGGAATATTGCTGAGTGCGGTGTAAATTTAAATTCACTCACTCACTCTATGATGTTGTATACGACAGGAATGAGATAGAAAGGGATGCTTAATTCGTGAAGCAGAATTTTATCCCCTGCTCATGGGTTTCAGCAAAGTGGTAAACATCTGGGAACTGCATCACTTTGGGCTTAAATAATGCTGCCATATAACTTGACAAGCCGGGATATAACTGGAATACTGTGAAAATAGTGTTAAAACCAAACTAGTAGATTCATGCAATCACTCACACACACAATCCGCCTCACTCACCACCATGTCACTAACTCACACTCACACACCATCACTTCACACACCCATCATGTCACTGGACTCCACTCACTCACCCATCATCCACCCACCTCACTCTCACCCACTCCACCCACTCCTCACACACAATCCACACGCCCACCATGTCACTGACCCACTCACTCACCCATCATCCACCTACTCACTCACACACACTCTCCCACTCACTCACACACACAATCAGCCACCCACCATGTCACTGACCCACTCACTCACCCATCATCCACCTACTCACTCACACACTCTCCCACTCACTCACACACACAATCAGCCACCCACCATGTCACTGACCCACTCACTCACCCATCATCCACCCACTCACTCCACACACTCTCCCACTCACTCCACACACACAATCAGCCACCCACCATGTCACTGACCCACTCACTCACCCATCATCCACCCACTCACTCACTCCCACTCACTCTCACCACTCACTCACACACTCACAATCATCCACCACTCCACCATGTCACTCACTCACACACCAATCAGCCACCCACCATGTCATCCACCCACTCATCCATCATCCACCCACTCACTCTCCCACTCTCACTCACACACACACACAATCAGCCACCCACCATGTCACTGACCCACTCACTCACCCATCATCCACCCACTCACTCACACACTCTCCCACTCACTCACACACACAATCAGCCACCCACCATGTCACTGACCCACTCACTCACCCATCATCCACCCACTCACTCACACACTCTCCCACTCACTCACACACACAATCAGCCACCCACCATGTCACTGACCCACTCACTCACCCATCATCCACCCACTCACTCACACACTCTCCCACTCACTCACACACAGACAATCAGCCACCCACCATGTCACTGACCCACTCACTCACCCATCATCCACCCACTCACTCACACGCTCTCCCACTCACTCACACACTCTCCCACTCACTCACACACTCACTCACACACTCTCCCACTCAATCACACACCAACTAAGCTGTCCACTCACTCACTCAATCAGCCACTCACTCATTCACTTATGAATCCATCCACACACAATCCACTCACTCACACACCCATCCACTCACTCACACAATCACACACCCACTAAGCCATCCACCCACCCTATGAGTATCGACCTACCCAATTGGGATAGGGCCTGACCACCCGACAGCATGGGTTACTGAAGATCAATTCTAACCCAGACCTTCATGGGTTTCTGGTATGAGAATGGGTCTCTGGTATGAGAACTAAGGTATGAGAACTAAGGTGAGCTAGAATCAGCTTTAGTTTTTCCCTAATGCACCAAAATTAGAACACACACATAAAATTTCTCTTTATCTGAACTAGTATATATACACATCTCATTTGAGAAATTAAGAATTATATTTCAGTCCAGTATTTTCATATTAATCAGTAGGTAATAACTAAGATAAAAACAGACTGTCTGGCAACATAATACTTTGACTAACATTTCACCATGGTTTTACTTACTGGAGTAAATTCATTTTCATCTCCAAATGTCTTCTCTAAAATAAGGAACAGTAACAGGCCATTGATGATCCAAAGGCCGATCCTTGAATGGCTATTGTGCAGGTCATCTGAAAATTAAAGATCATATTTGTAATTAATTTGATTTATCAATTTTGAATATAACATTTACATATGTCCAGAAACTGTGTGAAGGTCTAGGCTATTCAACAACTGTTGATGTATCGCAATGTCAAACCAGTGGTTGATAACATGAGCATCTGTTCTAGCCAATGTGGTATAATGTTACAAATCTGTCATCTGTCACACAGTCCCTGAACTGCATTATTTCCCCTTCCGCCCAGCGCTTCTGCAATGCTAAAGCCCTAAACAAAGCAAGTCTAGATTTCTTCCCATCTCACTGGGAATCCTTTTCAATTTAGACTGACTGAGTTTGGTTTTACGCCGCTTTTAGCAATATTCCAGCAACATCACGGCGGGGGACACCACAAATGGGCTTCACACATTGTACCCATGTGGGGATTCTAACCCGGGTCTTCGGCTTGACGAGACAACGCTTTAACCACTAGGCTACCCTACCGCCCCTTTCAATTTAGAAGGAATTATTTGTTTCAATCAATGGTAATCAGATGCTAAACGTTAGTTTACAAAATCTGAAACTGGTTACTTATTGCAATATCTGATCCACACGTAATTCTGTCCTGGAATCTAAACAATAGCAACCTTTGGGAAACATCCATTTGTGCTCAAACTATCAAGAATACGACTGAACTTTACACAATTCTCAGGAAAGCCAACAGAAATCTAATGATGAATCGAAACATTTCTTGTTTGTTGTGTAAAGCTACACTCAGGTCACATGCAACGTCACTGTCACATAATGTAAGTACAGACAGGCAGGTGTGATACTTGTACACATGACATTTTATGATGTCTGTTGATTGCAAAATGTTATACACAAAAAATGAGCATGTATTTACAAAACCCAACATCTCTATATACACACACACAATGAGCCGTGACGGCATCAGCAAATGAATCAGCCAATGAAAGTCCTCGTTACACTTGAGTGCACACCCACCCGCTCTGACTGGGTTTGGTATTCCGGGTGCATCGTTTCGAGGGAAGTAAACCAAAGTACAAAATATTGCACTTTTGATTTGCGATTGTACGCTGATAATTTTGTTTATATGTTTTTTCATAATCAGTGATGTCATGAATAAGTGATAATTGTGTTTTAATTATGTTTGATTTTTTGGTTGCATGTGACCCTTAAAATAACAAGTCTGGACCAGACAATCCAGTGATTGACATCATGAGCATCAATTTAGACCATCGGAATACCACAACCGGTCAGCAGGTTTAAACAACTGATCTATGAATGCAGTGTTGCCTCTTATTAAACTGGGTTGCAGAAGACCAATTCTATCTTGGGGTGAGTGAGTATGGTTTTATGCTGCTGTTAGCAATATTAAATCAATCTCACAACTGGGGACATGAGAAATGGGCTTCACACATTGTACAGATTTGAGCCACTGCTTTAACCACTAAACTACACCACTGCCGAAATTTCTAACTTTGATCCTGGTTGGATATCAGAACATTACCAATATTAGACAGAACCATTTTATTGTGGCTTTACTGCCTTCCTCCGTCCTACCTCTTGGAAAATATTGACAAAGAAAATGCTTAATATATATATATATATATATATATCAGACTTAACTAATCAGGATTCAAGATATATGTAGTCTTAAAACCCTTATCAGATATCTATTCAATGTATCATCAGTTTTAATAATGATTTTTGCTGACGCTTAAGTTTTTGAGATGCTCTCATTTTTCATTTGTATCAATACAATGTTGTTCAAAAGCATGGAGATTTTTCTGAAAAATAATATAAAAATGGAAAGTATGATAACAAATTATACAAAAACAATTTATTCGGATTCAAACAAATAATTCTGCTCATAAACAACAGAAATGATTAACCATAAACCCTTAGTTATTATATTTTTATCACGCCAACCAATTAAGCTGCAGCTGGCGGTTACATTATCCTGTGCTGAAATTGCCACAGGCTTCATCGTTCAGCAGTTTCTGTTTATTTAGAGTTGCACATGCACATCACGATTGTCAACAGATAAAGATCTACCTTTATCGAGATACGCCCACGCCTCCGGTAAAAGATGAAGGAACACATCTCCCAGTAAACCCCCAACTGCGAAGCTCAACATCAACTTGAGGCGAGATGCAGCAGCTGAGAAAAATAAACAGACAAGTTAAACTGGCGTAAACATCGTAAACATGACATGGAGGCTGAGTGCAAATAGTTTTCATGGTCAAGAACAGTTTGTTGTAAGGAACAACAGATTATCATATAGACTCACAGTAGTTCTCTCAATATCAAGGTTGGATAATTAACAGAAAGTGTGAAATAAAAGCATACAATTAATGGCCAGCAAATTGCAATTACTAGAATGAATGAATGAGTATGGCTTTCCAACTTACGGCAATAATCCACCAACATCATGGCACTCCAACAATGGGCTTCACATGTTGTACACATGTGGTGAATCGAACCTGGGGTTTAGGTATGATGAGCAAACACTTTAACCACTAGGCTATGTTATTGTTTGTTGGTTTGTTTGTTGTTTAACATCACTCTCAGCAATATTCCAGCTATATGCCAGAGGTCTGTAAATATTTGAGTCGGGAACAGACAATTCAGTGATCAACAGCATGAGCATCGATCTACGCAATTGGGAACTGATGTCGTGTGTCAACCAAGTTAGCGATCCTGACCACCCGATCCCGTTAGTCGCCTTTTACGACAAGCATTGGTTGTTGAAGACCAATTCAAACCCAGATCTTCATAGGTAAGCTATGTTATGAGGTGAGGTGAGGTGAAATTGGGTTTAACGTTGTACTTGAGAATATTTCGCTCATATGACGACCTGCATGCGTGTGTATGTGTAGGTGTGGCTGCTTGTACTAGCCCAGACTGAAGCTGGTTTTATAGTGCTAGCCCACTGAGATACCATGCCGCAGTGAAGCATGAATACCCCACTCAGACACATTATACTGACTCCGAGCCGACCAGTCCTTGTTGTACCCATTAATGCCGAGCGCCAGGCAGGGACCAACAAGTATCATAATTTAGCGTCTTTTGGTATGACGCGGTCGGGGATTGAACCCGCGACCTTAGGCTCTCCGGGCAGACGCTCTAACCACTACACCAAGGAGGCGGTCCTATGTTATGAATGCTCATAACAAATACAGAACAACCATATACCTTGTGGGATGATAACCTATAGCACTATACCAAAAAGCAAAGCTAATTCACTGAGTCTGTCAACAAAGTGTATTAGAAACTCCAAACCTGAATTATGTCAAAAACAAAAACAAAACAAATCAAATGAATTCTTTAAAATATGTGAAGTGTAAGTTGAAAAAGGGTTGACAACATTTGTGTTCAAGGTCACTGCACTTACACCATGATAAAACAAATAATACATGTATACACACTAAACTATTGACAAAACGCCAAAAAACAATCTATGATTTTACCTTTTCCAAACAAGCATGGTTTTAAAGAGAAAGTTTATTGTGAAGGACATTTACTAGTGGCCTGTTGTAGCTGAATCAACCAATACAAGGTGCCATATCTCTTGACTCGGGAATATTGCACAGTTTGAACATATGGAATGTCCACATCCCACAGATTGTCTTAGAATAGTGCAGTCAGTAGCTCACAATGGACCCGTAAAGATCCGGGTTAGAATTAGTCTTCAGTTACCCATGCTTGTCGTAAGAGGGCAACTGACGGGATCGGGTGGTCAGTCTCGCTGACTTGATGGACACATAACATCATATCCCAATTGCATAGATCGATGCTAATGATGTCGATCACTGGAGTGTCTGCTTCAGACTCGATTATTTACAGATCGCCGCCATATAGCTGGAATTTTGCTGAGTGCATTATGAAACAACCAACCAACCAACCAAGTTAACAATGGGTTGAAGAATACACCTACACAACAACCCCTTACATGATTCATCACATCAGTTCTCTCCCTTTGAAACTATCTCTTGTGCATTATAAAAATTCCAATATATGTGCTATTATGTCCAAAGGTAAAAATATGCATAAAATTCAGAGTAGAATAAATAGCATGTACATGTCAGGCAGACAAATAGTGACTCTCACAAAAGGCTTCTCAGGTGATCAAGGTGAAATATTACATAGACTGCCAAAGCTACCAGATTTGTGACAGATCCCAATCAAATCCACAATTTACTACTCCAAGGCTAACTGAGGTGTTACATAGGAAGTAGAATAGGCTGAGTGGACCCAAAAGCACATCATTTATGACTAAAGAGGCGTGGACGATGCCAAGCTGAACAAATAGTCAGAGATAACCTGCCCTTGTCACAGCTGGTAGGTTTATTTGATGCTGAGGTCTTGCAGGGGCACACCTTACACATCCCAGACAGACCAAATGCCAGCAGCTGGCTCTCCATCCTCCCTGTGGTATATGTTACTGGGGATGAGCATTGGGTGACATGTAACCTTATTCAACAGATCTGCCTGTGTGGGTTACACTGGGACCTGTGTCTTCAGTTGGTTACATCGGTGCAAGATGGACTGTTGTTATATATCGGTTACTGTGGCTTTAGACTAACAACTAGTCTCTGAAATGAACATATTTTACTGAAAAAAGTTCATAGTAAAAAAAAAAAAAAATAATGAAAAGGAGCTCTGAGACTTTCTTAATTTTCGGAAGCTGAGGAAATCTAGACTTGCCACATTTTCTAGACTTGTGTGGGCTTTCTTGGATATATTTGCTTCAGGGTCCGTACGACAGACTACTGTGGCTTAAACATATGAAACTGGGACCTGTCTCTTGGGTTGGTTACTAGTAATGTCATGATTCACCGATGCATCAAGCTTTGCACGATACCATACATGATTCATTTGTTTTAGTATCGATTCATGTCTTGACATATCGATTATTCTAGCACAACATTGTCTGATACTTGATTCTGATTGGTTGAGAGCTCATCAAAACCATACTTAAATGGCAGTTTAAGGACCGCTAATTAAAGTGACTGATTGATCGCGTATGAATTCAATGAACTCGTTCAGTTTTTAAATTACATTTAGCAGTTGCATTGGTGGCGGTTGCATTGGTGGAGTGAGTGAGTGAGTGAGTGAGTGAGTGAGTGAGTGAGTGAGTGAGTGAGTGAGTGAGTGAGTGAGTGAGTGAGTGAGTGAGTGAGTGAGTGAGTGAGTGAGTGAGTTTTACGCCGCATTTAGCAATATTCCAGCAATATGGTGGCGGTGCATTGGTGGAAGATGGACTGGTGTCATATATTGGATACTGTGGCTTAAACATGTTAAAGGAGAACTGTCTGTAGGGTATGTTACTGCAACTTGAAGTCTGTGACTGGTCTCTTATATTGGTTACATATGCTGAAAGATTGGTCTTGAAGGCTGGTTACTGTAACTTAAAGGGTAACCTGGCTTTAGAAAGTGTTACAGTTGCTTGAAGTTTCTCTCATCTCTTGTGTTCCAGGGGGCTGAAAATTGGTCTATAAGTTGGTTACAACAGAATGGGACTGGTCTCTTGTGTTGGTTACAAGGGCTTAGAATGAGACTGGTCTCTTGTATTCAACAGGTTACAAGGGCTCAGAATGAGACTGGTCTCTTGTATTCAACAAGTTACAAAGGCTCAGAATGAGACTGGTCTCTTGTATTCAACAGGTTACAAGGGCTCAGAATGAGACTGGTCTCTTGTATTCACATACAGGTTTGAAGGCTGGTTACTGTAATGAGAAGGGTAACCTGGCTCTAGAAAGTGTTACAGTTGCTTGAAGTTTCTCTCATCTCTTGTGTTCCAGGGGGCTGAAAATTGGTCTATAAGTTGGTTACAAGGGCTCAGAATGAGACTGGTCTCTTGTGTTCGTTACAAGGGCTTAGAATGAGACTGGTCTCTTGTATTCAACAGGTTACAAGGGCTCAGAATGAGACTGGTTCAACAAGTAACAAAGGCTCAGAATGAGACTGGTCTCTTGTATTCAACAGGTTGCTATGTCAAGGGCTCAGAATGAGACTGGGTTACAAGGGCTCAGAATGAGACTGGTCTCTTGTATTGGTTACAAAGGGCTCAGAATTAGACTGGTCACTTGGTTACAAGGGCTCAGAATGAGACTGGTCTCTTGTATTCAACAGGCTACAAGGGCTTAAAGAGGGTCTAGTCTCTCTCCATCTGCACAGAGACCATGTATCTCACAGTTTCTATAAACAGGCATGTTGCAAGCCTCAATATTTTACACATACATAGACCATGTATCTCACAGTTCCTCTAAGTACAAGTCTCCATCTCCTACACTACTTAACATGCAAGTCTTGGGACCTTTGAACAGATAAATATATGCACTCAAATCCACACAGATCCCCAGACAAGTTACAGCCAGTAGTCTCCCTATATTCAGTGGACATAAGGCAAGAGCCTTCATCTGGCCTGCTGATGAACCTATGGCTTAATTGCCTTCAGAACTGCAGGAAACACATTACCTTAGACTTACAACTGTTGCTATAGAAGTGTCTTGGGCTGAAGGTAATCATATTTAGTGTCCTGTAAACTGTTTATGGGGAAGGTTCTTAAACACACTGATGGACTATTAAAGCAGATGCACTTATGAAAGGGGCATCAAACATTGACTGCTTGGAAATCATTGGACAGAGAATCCTTCAACATGAGTCATTATGCGGGATCAGCTGTTATAGCTTTCTCATTTCTTGTGGCTTAGTCATTTCATGTTGCAATAGAAGATGGTTGGCTAGCTCAGTGGTCAAAGTGTACACTTGTGATGTCGATGACCCAGGTTTGATTCCCCATGGGTAAAGCCCATGTCTGATGCCACCTGCTACAAGTGGCATAAACCCACATTCCTCACTCTTGTGGCAAGGAGTGCAATTTCTGGTCACTGTCTCATGACAGTCAAGTGGCAGTCTTAGCTAAGGTGATTAAAGTCATTCAAAGTACCATCTCCAGTTATATATTGCATTCTTAGTGGCTATATGTTTTTGTAACAGGTTTATGCCGAGGTTCTTGAGAGGCATGTAGAAGTTGGTATTCAAGTAAAACACTAATATTATAGATGACAACTTCTTCGTTATTGTATGTCATAACGTTTCCTAGCCCAGAAACATTGTGACATACAATAACGAAGAAGTTGTCATCCACAATATTAGTTTTTAACAGGTTTACGTTATTGATAAATACATCAGTTAGACAGCTACTGTGAGATGATTTGCCGGTGTCAATATGTCAAAGTTTCAGTACATATCCTTTACCTTTATCGACCGCCCCCGTGGTGGTTAGAGCGTTCGCACGGAGAGCGGAAGGTCGCGGGTTCGATCCCCGACCGTGTCATACCAAAAGACGTTAAAATATGGTACTTGTTGGTCCCTGCCTGGTGCTCGGCATTAATTGGTACAACAAGGATTGGTCGGCTTGGAGTCAGTATAATGTGTCTGAGTGGGGTATTCTTGCTTCACTGCGGCATGGTATCTCAGTGGGCTAGCACTATAAAACCAGCTTCAGTCTAGGCTGGTACAAGCAGGTGCGCGTACACATACACATGCATGCACATCGTCATATGAGCGAAATATTCTCCAGCGCGACGTTAAACCAAATTTCACCTCACCTTTACCTTTATCAAGCCGTTAGCTTAATGGTATATGGATCTCTATCGAAATGTCACTATATATATATTAAAGAAGCTGTAATCCATACAATTGCTACCTTGTTATTACCCATCTTTTAAAGATGCCTATACAACATATTTAAGCTTATACTTCATATTGTTGGACCTATTCCAAATATTAGTAGAGTGGACTCTGGCAATATCGGCCTCTATAAACACCGGCACTCTGCCTACATCAGCACAAAGTTTCAGTCCCGGCAGAAATGCACTTAATTATCATTTAGATACATCTGTAAACATCAGCATCTGTCTACTCAGGATATCGGCATTGTTTTTCAGTCCCAACGAACAAGTTGTTATGAAAACGAATCTGTAAAAACCGGCACATGAAGGATTGCGCAAACCTTTGGTGCAATTAGGTCCAAATGATGTAACAACACAAATCATGGTTACTCCCGAGATTATTCAGGAACGGGAAGTGTCAATCAGTTTCTTGTTAAATAGTGAGTGGTACGTGTCACTTACATAGAGTAATTAACTCTTTCAACACCAGTCAACCAGAGGCATTTACTGCCGTGACACCGAGTTCCCATAGACTCTAAGGTCATAGATGAAGCCTATGTTTATGAAGAAAATTATTATAAAAAGATTTCTTACATAATATGTATGGTCGCCCATTTCCCGATATCAGTGGCTTTCCGCTCGGTAACATGACACAACAATGGAAAATACCTCTGTTTTTGAAGCTCTGAACATCAACAATATCACTGTACCCTTGCCAAGAGTATTTTCACATTTGTAAGAAGCGATTTTATTGGATAAAGATTGGTTTCTAATGACGCTTTTTCACCACAGTCTGCTATAAGGATCATGATTGGTCAAAATCAGACGTGCTCTAAGGCAGCCAATCATATTACGGCAATGGATACGGCAGTCTGACTGTAAAAGCGAGCAAGAGTTTACATGTTGTTGATTCGAGGGTATTTAAGGTAAATCGTATGTTGTAACAACACTATTCGGAAACACGACTTCTGTATCATGTGCAGAACTTGGAAAGTGCCGCTGAGGGCATTGCACTCGAGGCATCGGCACACAGCCTAAGTAAACTTAGGCTCAGTATTATTCGTTACACTGCTATATACTGAGTCTAACAAAACCTTGTGGAAGGTCGCCTCTGGTAGCCTTTGAGCGACCTATGACCATCCAATCAAACAAGATATGGACGAACGGATTTAACCAATCAGACAACAGCTACTATTTAGGGTTTGGCGGGACTTACAAAATGGATTTTCTCTTCCCCAGTCGCCAACACTGATCTCATAACAAATGAAAACCCGCATAGAACACAGATATATGACCTGCTTTGGGGTTTCTGTTGACATGGCTATCATTAGCTAATATTTCCGAAAGCTGACATCCTTGAATACTGACAAAACGCTATTTTCAGCGACTGTTTACTCACTCTTGTGGCATGCTTTATGTGCATCACTCGGAAGCGATCGTACGGAAAATAGCATTCGGAATTGTTCGGGTAAAGAACTTTTTCGAGGTAAAAGTTCAAAAGGTATGTGCGAATATCAACTTTCACGATTTGGTAAGCTGTGTTCTGATTGGTCCATTGAAAAGGTCAGCTGACGAGACTTTCCACAAGGTTTTGTTAGACTCAGTATAGCAGTGTAACGAATAATACTGAGCCTAAGTTTACTTAGACTGCATCGGCGCACAAAATGCAAAGTAAGATCAGTGACTCTTTCACAAAGTAAACAAAATATACCTTGTTTTTATTTGAATGAATAAACATGAATGTACATTCAGACACTGCCTTGTTTCTTATTCAAACATGTTGTTAATGCTAAAGTGACACTACGACAGTGAACTTCCCATGTGCGATGGCGTCATAAGCAAACTTGCAACCTGCCTAAACCGACACTCTGTCAAACCGGCACTTTTATTTGGTCCCGAGTGATGCCAGTATTGACAGAGTACACTGTACTTATACCTTTATTATACCACAAGAAGATAGGATATACGTGATCTATTCTGTGAAAAAGTAATTATACTCTGTAACACATGCAGATGGGTACATTGTGACCTGTTCTTCTCAAACACAAGGTGAACCAAGATTTACTCATCGCTGCTGAAAAATATACATAAAGACTTTAATAGAACCAATTAACTCTGTCTAAATTGAAAATAGAGCCCCAGTAGGATGGGAGAGTCCGACCTGGACCAATGTAAAATCTAGACTTGCTTCAGTTGTAACGTGGCTTTTACATCAAAGAGTGAGTGTGTGAGTCAGCTAGGTTTTACGCCGCTTTTAGCAATATTCCACAATATGACGGCAGGGGACCCCAGAAATGGGTTTCACACAATGTACCCACGTGGGGAATCAAAACTGTGTCTTTGGCGTGACGAGCAAATGCTTCAACCACTAGGATACCCCACCACCTCTTTACATCAAAGAAAGTGTTGCATGAAGGGAAAATAATCTCATTCAGAGACTGTAAGAAGACTAATTCAAAATCTTGAGCAGTCAGTATCCTAGACTGACGCTTGGTCCCTGAATATATCTAATTTTCATAGTAGCAAATAAACCCATTTAAGTTGAAAAGGAGACCCAGTGAGTACTAAGGGAAATCTAGCTTGCTTCATTTAGGTCTTTAGCATTGCAGGCAGGGCTAGACTTTACGGAAAATAATGTGGTTCAGGGACTGTGAGACAGACTATCAGTATCCCAACCTTAACTTTCCAGTTTTAGATAATGTCATCTTTTCTTTGGCAGCTACAGACTGTAGTGTCAGTACAGTTGTATTCACACAACTGCAGCGCCAAAACTAAACCGTTAAACCTTGACATTTCATTTTCTTCTGCTGAAGACTTCTTTCTGCAACGACATGCAACTTTCACATAAATCAAGTGCAGTACAGATAGCAGTGCTGGTTTAGACCTTCTAAATCAACTCATGACCACATGGCGATACATATGGTTTCTGAAAAGCAATTAACGTCTTATTTCAGGAACACTGATTAACTTGTGCCAAGTATTGTCCCTGAAATATTTGTGCACTCTTACACTTTGGCAAACTTTCTAAAACAAGATACTTAAAAGACTGTGAACTGACTCACATGAGACAAAGAAATTGACTGTGACTTGTTGCATCCTAAACACTGATTCTGATTATGATGAGATTGATGAGAAACTGAAGCTGTCCTCTAAGATTCTATTCCGCATGTTTACATTTTCAAATAAAACCTTGGTGATTTCTCGTAAACTAATTCTAACGTGGATCTTCATGGGATGATGGTTACATTGTATCACGTGGATCACTATGTAATACCAAGAATGGATTGGTGCTCATGCTATCAACCATTAGTTTGCCATGGACAGACATGATTTACAGGCCATGATATACATTTCATACTACAGTACTGTAAAACAACTCCTCTGACTCATATAGTTCTCTGGGTTAGGATTGGTCTTCAGCAACCCATGATTGTCGCAAGAGTCGACTAACAGGATAGGGTGGTCTGAGGCTCGCTGACTTGGTTAACACATGTCATTATATCCCAATTGCGTAGATCGATGCTCATGCTATTGATCACTGGATTTCTGGTTGAGACTTGATCATTTACATGATAGCTGGAATATTGCCGAGTGAGGCATAAAACAATAAAAATACAATGATTCCCCATTTAGATACATGTCATTGTGACCGCCTCCGTGGTGTAGTGGTTAGAGTGTCCGCACGGAGAGCGGAAGGTCGCGGGTTCGATCCCCGACCGTGTCATACCAAAAGATGTTAAAATATGAGTGTTGGTCCCTGCCTGGCGCTCGGCATTAATGGGTACAACAAGGACTGGTCGGCTCGGAGTCAGTATAATGTGTCTGAGTGGGTTATTCATGCTTCACTGCGGCATGGTATCTCAGTGGGCTAGCACTATAAAACCGCTTAAGTCTGGGCTAGTACAAGCAGGTGCACATACACATACACATGCATGCACGTCGTCATATGAGCGAAATTTTCTCAAGCACGACGTTAAAACCACTTTCACCTCACCTCACATGTCACTGTATAGATGCTCATGATGTTGATCACTGGATTGTTTGGTCCAGACCCAATATTTTACAGACTGATGCCATATAGCTGGAATATTGTTGAGTGCGTCATTAAACAATATACAAACAAATAATCTCCAATAGTTCACATAAATATGACCCACATGTGATAACGACTGAAGCTGTCTTCACATGTAGGCTGACAATGGAAGTGATGACATCTGGATTACCGGGTGTTTCCGTGACACAACATGGCAGTTTTATTCATGTCAGCACATATAATTCATGAACTAACTCAAAAGGCAAGGTTAAAGGCAGAAATAATTTCTTATTCGTGTTCACTCATCTCAGGTTCAAGAACTTATTAACCTAACACGGCTAATGTAAATGGGTAAAAAACTGGCACCTGAATTATATGTTTTCATGGTAGAGGTCAGAGAGCCTGGTGCAGGTGTTCATTTTATATTACACTCAACTTTACCATGTTGGTTTGGGATCAAAAGCAACCATTAACAAGAAAAAATATTTGTAATAAACATTTAAAACTGAAAATGAAATACAGCATAAATTGGTAAATATCTAAATCCCATATAGTGACAGAGTTGGGTTAAAATACCCCTTTGAACGTTCAGTTAAAGGTCACATAAACCCTAGGGGGTAAAAATACATAAATCACTAACTGGCATCGTTATAAATGAAACCCCGTCATTAAAACTACTCATTTCGACCTTTAATTGACTTAAATCGACCTTTTTGACTACAGTGCACAATTCTCACCCGCGAACGAAATTTCAACCAATCAGAGCGGCGTAACTCTGTGACGTCATATGAGGAATAGCTTTGAGGGCCGATGCAGAATTCATCTACATTTTAGGGGTAAATTATCTTGTTTACAGGCTTGTATAAACCTGAAATCGTGACAATTGTTGTGGAAAATGAAAGCTATATGTTCTCACAATCTACTGTCATTTAATTTTGTCTCCTGCTTTGCCTAGTTTCCGAAGTTACAACTTGTTTTCATAGACGCTTCTGTCACAATTGATTGGTGTCGTTAGGCCCTATTTGTATAATGACTGATCCAAATTGATCCCATTTCTGTGTTTTTTTATCTCGATATTTAATCATGTCATGTAAAAATCTGTTTGTATTCTCAAAACAGTGTCGGCCCATAAGTTTTCACATGCAATACAGCAATTAATACTCCCTTGTTGTAACCCGTGTTAGGTGGTATAAACCTACACATGTTATTTGTCATCATTCACTTGATGGTCAGTTAATGAATTTATAACAGGTATAATTAGTGGTAACACACTTAGATTACCCGACAAAGGTTCCCATTTGGCATTTCTTGTGTCTGGAGTAAATATTCAACATTATAAACATCGATCAAAGGATTAACCGATAACACGCTGATTGATTAATTACTTTTATCTTACACAGCGGAATTGTCAAAAGGTAGTGTTTATGTATGTAGATTTACTAATCTATACTGAATACACTCTGCCGTGTCGGTGTCTGCGTAAAAACAACGCCCTTCTTTCAAAGGATTAACCGCAATACATTGATTGATTGCCCATTATTGGCTAACTAAATTACTGTTTTTAATGAAAGGCGGACATTATGCAATTAGTTGCCAGGTGTGCTATCTTGGGTGACCAATGAGACTATACACCAATACCTGAAAAGATTTATCACTTTTTCAGATATTAAACTGTTAAAAGACACATCATTTGGAACAGTTTTGTGGATATTGATGGATACATTCCTCAAACAAGGTAATGGCCTGATATTGTTCCTATAACTTTAATCTGTTTTAATTTTAATATTTGCATTTTGTTTTTATTCATTTGTCGTGAGCATTCAACAGAATCATTGTTTTCGCCGTGAAGTGTAATGAGACAGACAACATACACTAGGGTGTGTGTGCTAATTATGATTCACATTGGCAAACTATAAAATGTCTAGATATTACAGTTCTGTTATAAATTCACTATAAGTATCAGCAGATCGTCAGCTTTTATTTAGTTTCAAAATGCATAAAAGTATGATAATAAACTAATTAGGATTATAAGACCAAATATAAAGACGCATTACTGACTAGTATCTACATACTGGTGAGTGGACATTAACCATGTGAATGTAGCAAGAAATTTATCGCCAAGAGTATTGTGACTTCGACCCCCACCTCGCCTCCGTGGAAGAAATCGTTATGTTATAAGTTGTGTCATGCAAAATCCTTTTGGTTATGATTCCAATACATATTTAACTACGAGTAGAAAGTAGTTTTGATTTTCTAACTTGATGAAAACAAACTATAATCTCATTAATTCTAACAGACTTTACGATTTTCAAAATGGTATACTCTGTCGGGAACATCCGCCAGTCTGTGGATAAATGCTATTTAGGTTTGTTTTCACCGAAGTTACAAAATCAAAACTACTTTCTACTGGTAGTAAAATATGTATTTTATTGATGGCCAATAGGATTTTGCATGACATAGCGATAACATAACAATTTCTCTCCTGGCAGCCAGGTGGGTGTCAATATAATACTACTTACAATATTATTGTTACTCGACCACAACCTCACTTCCGAGGAAGAAATTGTTATGTTACAAGTTGTGTTATGGAAAATCTTTATGGTCATCAATCATATACATATTTTACTATAACTAGTAAGTAGTTTTGATTCTTTAACTTCCGTGGAAGCCGCATCTGAACACAAGTAAGATATCGCTTCAGGCTTCCACAACGCCAGCTTCAAGACTCACAAACATAACCCATTTAGCACTAACTGCGGGTCCTGTGGAAATCTGTGCATGGTGACACCATCACCCGACCCTCTAGGAGCAATTGACGACAAAGCAACGATTCGGCATGTCGCCGCTCATGTCGAGAAATCATCAAAATGATGAGCGTGCTACACACTTTCTATACAACTAACTGAAAATCCTTCCTCATATGACGCCACTGCAGTGCTCTGGCGACAGAGTTACGTAACCTGTCTGTGGTTTCGCTATGGGGCGAGAGGGAAGCAGGCGACTTTTGGCCACTTTTAATCGCCGGGTATTAATTAACCACAAGTTTTAAAGAATAAATTTGGTGTTCCGCATAAGACTAACCACAAATCTTTCATATGTAATGGTTAAAAGAGTAACAAAAAACAAAGTTTAGTGGTTCTTTAAAGGAGTAAAAAAAAAAAATTCACCATACATATATGAAATTCAAATTCAAATATTACCCAATTAATATACAGTGTTTGAGTTGGGTTTTAGTGATGCTTTGAACATTATTGTTTTTAATGAATAAAATGAAATGAATTATATGAAATGGATTGCGAAATATTACCCAAACAATATACTGACTGACTGAGTTTGGTTTTACGCCGATTTTAGCAATATTCTAGCAACATCACGGCGGGGGACACCACAAATGGGCTTCACACATTGTACCCATGTGGGGATTCGAACCCGGGTCTTCGGCGTGACGAGCCAACGCTTTAACCACTAGGCTATCCCACCACCCCCCCAAACAATATACAGTGTTTGAGTTGGGTTTTAGTGATGCTTTGAACATTATTGTATTTAATGAATAAAAAAAGAGCCCTGGAGATGAATTTATCACTACTCTTAGCTCATCTGAAACATCCTTACATAAGACTATTAGAAATGGAATGGAACCCAGGGTTTTGGTGAGACAGGCCAACACTTTATCCAGTAGACTTCCTTACAATCCAGGAAGTCTATAGAAAATGTACATGGTAAAACCAACCACATGGGACAGCGCCGGCTCAAAGAACTGCTTCAAAACGAGCCAACCTTGAACCAGCCTTACAACTCAATTAAATGCCCACCTTCACTAATTGCCCAAGAACAGACATCAATACATTACTCCTAATGATAAAGTCAGGTGCTTATCACATCTAAGTCAATTAATGGCTGGATGGTTTCTTGTGCCACCCATAACCTACACACTCCTCCACCACAGAGCATGCAGCCAGCTGCAGCGTACATAACACTGCCCACTGTATCCCAAGACGTCAGAATCCTGCAGCCAAATTTGGCACGGCACATGGGCAGAATTAGTGGCCAGAGAAGCAGAAAGTAATCTTCCGGCTGACTGGACATCTCTTGGAGTGACCAACAAAGCCAGGAATAACACCCGGTGATAAAGAGTTTATACCCTGTGTGTGGAATACCAGAATGCCAGGAGAAGTGATGGATGACAATAGGCGGCACGATGCTAGCATCAGCATGAAGGTAAGTGCACACAGGTTAAGATAACTGGGGTGTTTGTGTGTGCATGTGTGTGTGTGTGTAGGTGGGTGGGTGGGTGTTCTTTGTGTTCGTCATCATCAGTGATGATGCACATGCGTAACCATTTTGGCATCATGTTTGTATTCAGACCTAAAACTTTACTCTTAGGAAGTAGTTTCTACTTCTACTGCGTTTGTCACATGGTTAATCTTTGTATATAATATTAAACATATGAAAGCTATCAACATATATCCTTATAACTGTCAAGCAATGAAACATATTATTGCTGAATCAGCAGTTTGTTCTGTGGAACTGAGTCTCTGTATATGAGCGCCAACACTTACCAAAACAAACCTTGACAAATTCGTTTTTTGTCAGTAACGCATAATCACCTAAAAGATATCATGAATTCACAATCTAAATTAACCGTATTCCATAATTATGTATATCATAAAAAAGAAATTACATTATTTGTGCAGCAACATGTATTACGAAAAAGAAATGATATCAAATATCTCGGGATAGTTCAAGGCTTGTATTAACGTACACCTCCTCGACAACCATAAACACAATGTAAGTGTCTATGTCATTGGCATGTTGCTTCACAGGAGGTTTATTTATATATGTCAGTCTATCTGTATGGGAATGCAAAGCTTGCCAAGCTTGGGTACTATTTAATGCCCAATCGTCTGACATGGTGAAAGAATAAATAAACATATTGCGATGAAACAACAAATATAGAGCATTTCTCTCACAAATAAACAGAAAAGGTGTTTAATATTTGCGGCAATGTCTGACATGCTCATTGGTCCTAATAGGTGAAGATTTCGTAAGAAGAATATTCATGTAGTTAACCAGTCTGTGAATTTCAAACAATGTGTACCCATCTAAATTTTTTTAGTGAGTGAGTGAGTGAGTTAATATTTATCGTCACATCGGCAATATTTCAGCCATATCGTGACGAGAACATTTTATAATTATCTAAAAAAAATTAAACAGCCATAATTTGGGTAACTATATTATTACCAAAATTTCTATTGGCGTTATTTCATGGAAAGGTTTATCTTAGAACAAAAACTAACTAACATGAGGATCAGTTTCTTTGCTTCTTATAACACAAGTGCTGTGAATGTAACCTGTAAGTAATTGAGTCTGGGCCTGTCATTCCAGTGATTGACATCATGAGCACGGACTACACAGTGGGAGTACAATGACATGCATCAACCTAGACAGCGAGAATACAATGATCTGGTCCTGCAGGGGCGGTGGGGAGCCTAGTGGTAAAGGCGTTCGCTCGTCATGCCTAAGACCCAGGTTCAATTTCCCACATGGGTACAATGTGTGTTTCTAGTGTCCACCACCATGATATTGCTGGAATATTGCTAAAAGCAGCATAAAACCATACTCACTCACTTTAAGATACAGAAATGGCACTTCCCATGTCACAAACTGAGAATGTTTATTCCTCACCCTACTGTATATATATTGGATCACAGATCCACGAAACTAAAGTTGTACATCCAGGTAAGTCTTCACTGAATCCATTTTTTAGTAAAACTGGAAGTTCTATAAAAAAATATACATTTCCCTCATATATCTGATGCAGAAAAAAATATTTAGAAGTCTCTATGGTTTTAGGTCAACCATCAACCAACAAACCTAACTTTCGTTCCAACTTCGTATTTAGAGAAATCGATCAGTCATACATATTCAATGCATAATACATAATTATATCTATAGGGGAATTTCTCCTGGGAATTGATACAATAACATTACTTGAAATATATCTAAATCATTTTCTCTGTATTTTCTGATTATGGTATTTGGCTCTGGTTGATCAAACCAACAGCGTAAAAATCTACAAAATCTTTCACCAATGGTGAAGAGCATGAAGTGCAAAAGTCTATTGCTTGAAATAAATTGGTTTATTGTTTAACACCGCACTCAGCATATTCCAGCTATATGGCGGCAATCTATAAAAAAAATCAAGCCTGGACCAGACAATCCTGTGATCAACATCATGAGCATCGATCTTCGCAATGGGGATACGATGACATGTGTCAACCAAGTCAGCGAGTCTGACCATCCGATCCTGTTAGTCGCCTCTCACGACACGCATGGGTTGCTGAAGATCAATTCTAACCCATATCTTCATGGGTTGCTCTAGATAAACCTCATCACAGGACAGCATTAAACCATTCTTCCAGTATGTTTTACTTTACCATGAGTCATTACTCATCGGAGAAGCAATTTGGAAAGAGCAATGTCAGGCCTACCAAAGAAAACTTTCCCATTGTGCAGAAAAACACAGAAAAGACCACATTAATTAGTGGAAATAGCAACATAAACATAATACCTCGCTACTGAAACAGTAAAAACGGCAACTTTAAATCGCTTACACTGCATCATAAAATGAGGAGCCCGCAACTTCGATTTTGCACATGCGCACATGGAAGAGGAAGTCTCGACCGCATGTTGACATTTTCCAGTTTGGACATTCCTTGTTAACTATTTCAATTGTGTTATTTGGCATGAGTAGCGAGGTAATGTGTTTATGTTGCTATTTCCATGATTAATGTGGGTTTTTCTGCATTTTTCTGCACAGTGGGAAAGTTTTCTTTCGTAGGCCTGAATGGCCTGTTTTTCTTGTTTAACTTGTCAACAGTATTACAACAACATCGTGGTAGCTTGTAAGTCAAATCTACCCCAGACCATCCAGGGGTACAATATGACACTAAATCTACACTCAATTAAAAATATAAATTACAATACTGAAAGAATGAATGTTGTTTCATGCCACAGTTGGCAATATTGCTGTATGCATGATACGTGTAGCCTTATGATCCAGTCTATGACAGACAGACCTGGATCCCGCTCCACAAAGCATTCGTAGAACTACGTCATTCGTAATCTACGATAAACTGTATAATTATGACAGCACATAATGCTACAATTGCTTTGTGGATCTGGGGTTCCTTTTACGAAGCAACCTTTACTAAGGTTAACCTTAACTTCCATTCTTTAACATTGCACTAAGGTTACCTTAGCGACTTACGATCACCTAAGTGCTTTGTGAAAGGAGGCCCAGGGCCCTGGTGGTTAAAACTGATTTGAAGTAAGCCAGTTTTACACATCCCCTGAAATATATGACTAATATTTGGACTAAAGTTTCATGTATGTGGTAAAAAAAAGACAAAAAAAAATAATTCATCTTGCACTTTTGATCATTGAGTGAGTGAGTGAGTATGGTTTTCCGCCACTCTCAGCAATATTCCAGCAATATCACGGCAGGGGACACCAGAAATGGGCTTCACACATACCCATGTGAGGATTGGAACCCGGGTCTTAGGCGTGACGAGCAAATGCATTAACCACTAGGCTACCCCACCGCCCCACTTTTGATTAGTACCGCTACTCATCAGATGAATGAACAACAATTTCAAAGGTCACCATCCTTGATTCCAAAAGACAGTTGTTGTTTTTGTTGGAAGAAAAAGAATTACATGAATCATTCACCATTTCTTAACAAGAGTGGTGATAAATAACATCATTTTTTCATTACACATACCTTACTGAGTTGGTCCAAATTTTTGGCAAAAAGTCATTTTATTCATTATTCTTATTTCAATTGTTTTTGTTGTGTGACAGAATGAGTGAGTGAGTTGAGTTTAACTCTGACAGTCAGTCATGTCAGCTTGATGTGAGATGTAAGCCTAAAGTTAGGCTTTGTTCATTGTTAAAACCTGCACTCAGCAATACAATGGTCTGTGAATAAACAAATCTGGACCACACAATCTAGTGACTGACATAATGAGCACAGATCCCTGCAAATACAATGGAATACAATGACATGCATCAACCAAATTGGCAAACCCTAACGAGTCGAACCCGTTGGTCCCTTTTAAGACAAACATGGGTTTGTGAAGACCTATCCTATCCCAGATCGTCTTCACAGGTTGACAATGCCAGGCAAGTGCGAACCAGTGCCAACAATCTTTTGAAAGTACTCATATTCTAACCCTATTGCGTTAGAAAATTTGGGTAAAATCTGGAGTGCAGTCTCCTTGTTACCTGTTGCCTGTGAATATAGGGATAGACAAAATCAGTCAAAATGTTTACTTTGTCGAAAAATTGAATATTAAGTCAACCGGTAAACTTCAAATTTAATCCCGAAATGTCTAATATATCAGTTTGATAGTGTTATGTCAGTGACTCCAAATAAATGTCATTTGCAATTAAGATTACACTCAGCTTGCTGACTATGAGATGTCTGGGATGAATGCCAGTGAAGACAGAGCGCCTCAGTCTCCAAGGTCGCCACTTAAACTGATATCAGCTACACACATGTACAAACGGTGCATAAAAAGTTCATGCTTGTAACCATGCAACTAGAATCTTTCTCACAATAAATCTGTGAGAAGAGAAAATATTTCCAAAATTATATATTTAAGGTTGTTGTTTTTGTTTTCATAGACAGGCAAATTATTCTTAAAAGAGGAAATGTTTCCACAATTATATATTTAAGCTTGTCGTTTTTGTTTTCAGAGACTAGCATATTATTCTTATAAAAAGATATATTTCCAAAACTATATAATTTAAGCTTGCTGTTTTTGTTTTCATAGACAGGTATATTATTCTTATGCATTAAGTAGAAGACTGTATTTTAGTTGCAAATTTGTAACAAATGCAGAACACTTGGGGCAGTTCATAGTTTTGCATGACGTCGAGGGACATCAAGAATGGGGCTGACATTGGCATCAAATCGAAGTCTTCAGCATGTCATCTTGCAATGCATTAAACATAAAGAAAACACAAGGAACCATCTGACAAAGACAAGAACAGAACTGTTTTCCAGAGGAAGTGATGTTACAATGTACAAATCAATCCCTGCCTGTTGAATCAGTGAAAAAGTTTGTGATATATCTTAAACTTTCACCCAGTTTACCTCCAGATCTCCACATGGACAAAAAAAATAATGGCGACATGTGCAGACTAACATTGAT